ATGATTGTTGGGTTTTTTCTCTGTATGTATTATTGTAGGGTCTACCTTACAATATAAAGCACCTTGAGGCGACTGTTGTTGTGATTTGGCGCTGTATAAATAAAACTGAATTGAATTGAATGTCTGACCAAAAAAATCTGAAAAAACTTTATGAGAGTGGTCTGAGAGCTGACTTCCTTTATTGGGCCCTGGGCTGCCTGCCTGGCATCATAGCGCCTGACTGACATTTGCCATAGAAAGCCAAAATTGGCAGGACCAACACTGGCACCCCGCGCGTTTCACAGATGAGATTCACTTAGAGCACATGTGACAGACGTGAAAAGGTCCAATCATGTTGCCTGCAACATCATTCACAAATGACAGTGGCTCAATGGTGGTCTGGTAAGGCATATCCACAGAGGGATGCACAGACCTCTACAGGCTAGGCAACAGGACCCTGACTGCTGTTCGGTATCAGGATGTAATCCTTGGACCCATGTCAGACCCTATGCTGGTGTAGTGGGTCCTGGGTTCCTCCTGGTCCATGGAAATGCTCCGGCTCATGTGGCAAAAGTATGCAGGCAGTTCCCGGAGTCCAATAGTAAACCTCTGAGACATTCTGTTTCTGTCCAGCCGACACCACCAGGTTCCACCTCAGACTTAGTGATGCCATGGTCCTAGTCTACACTGAGGGTTTTAGTACTATTTCGATGTAGGAAGTGAATGGTTTGTTTGGTCCTCACCAAGAACAGTGTTCAGTGTTTTGGTCTCTGGTCTTTGGCTGATTTAAATGTTTCACTCTCCTTTCAGCTCTTCTGTTTTTTGTCTCCTAGAAATTTCTCTCACATATCATTTTGTTTCTCAGGATTTGGAAAACACGCCTTGTGGTGAGGAAGCTGAAGAGGAGGTTTTGAGCGAGGCTCCCCCGTTACCTGACGAGGAAGAGGAGGATTTGTCAGAGTATAAATTCTCCAAGTTTGCAGCCACCTACTTCCAGGGTGTCTCCATCCACACCTACATCAGACGGGCACTGAAACAACCTCTGCTTTTCCACGAGGACGAAGGAGACCAGCTGGTGAGGCTGACCTTCGATCTCAATCCCAAAGCCTTTTACAGCCCCCGATCATCTATTTAAGTTATTCGTATTATGTGTTAATGGGCTCAGCAGATTTACACACGTACCGGCTGCTGAGCCGATTACGAATATGTTTTGGGCGAAAAAACCAAGTTAAACTGTCACGCTTTTTGTCCTTTTTCTGGAAAAAGAAGAGAACACAACCATATCACCAAAAATGTTGGTTTTTCAGTTTAGTTTTGGTATGAATAAATTGTTAATTTTCTTATTATAACACATAACACAATCCAATCATCTTAGAAAGTTCTTACTGAGACGGCAAAACAGTCACACCTACACAAAGGGACCTTGTAACTCCTCGTTAGCAGAAAGTCAGAGTTCAGACATGTGAAGGATCAACTAAAATCCTCTGGGCTTCAAACACTGGCCTACTAAAATGTTTACAATGCTTTACTCTTGACTGCTAGTGGTGCTACAATATTGGCTGTAACCTACAGAAAAAGAGTCTCAAAGCTGGTGATTTTTTATTTATTTTTATAAATCAGAGATAATGCTGTAGAATAATTTTGAAATCACTCTAACGTGTATAATGAAAAATAAGGTGATTTCAAAAAAAGTTTTTCTTATTTGCCATATTTGACCTGTCCTCCAGGCGGCTTTAGCTGTATGGATCACTGTGTTGAGGTTCATGGGCGACCTCCCGGAACCCAAATGCCCGATGGTCATCAACGACGGCAGCGAGAAGATCCCCGTCATGACAAAGATCTATGAAACCCTCGGCAAGAGGACCTACAAGCGAGAGCTGCAGGAGCTGCAGGTGGAGGGAGAGGTGAGAGGATGCTGGGGATTGTATGAGTCGTTACAGATTGTCAGGTCAGAGCCTCCAAAATGTCATCTCCTGTTTGTACCTACAGAACAGCTCCATAGACAGCCAGAAGAGGAACAGCGTCAGGCATAAACTCGTGTCACTCACTCTGAAGAGGAAGTCCAAGATCACTGAGGAGGTGAGAAACACATCACTTCTTTTCAGCTGATCTAAGTAAATAGTTTATTTCACATGTCCTATGTTTTCCACTTTTAATCATAGGGTGATGCGATAACAGTATAAAACCAAACCTTAAAAGAGTGTTAACTTAAACAAAAGAAATGGGAGAACCTGGACAAAAATGGCGGTGTAGTCAGTACCGTCAGTGGTGACTCCAGTTTGGTGGCTGTTCTATGGAGTGTGTATATGTGTCCCATATTATATGTGTTGTACCAAGTCAATCAACTGAAAGGGAATGAACAGTTATGCCTATAACTTCTGCTCCCTGAAGGAGAGGAACGGGGTACAACACAAGATTGCCCCGCTATGCCCCGCCCCAACTTGGCTTGGTGAAGACTGCTATCGAACTGAGGGATCATTGTGATGATGGGCTATATGTGCAGATGAGCCTTTGTGCATGTCATCACAGTCATCACAGGTCCTCTGCCTTAAAGTTGCAAATAGAGATTTCTTCAGCCAGGACATGCAGAGGTGTGATATCCCATCTTATTTCTGTTGTACCTCATTCCTTTCCTTCGGGGAACAGAAGTTATAGGCTTAACTGTTTGGGGTTTTTTGAGCACTGGGACACTTGGACACCGGGAAACTGAAGGTGGCACACTGGTGCAGTGTTGCACTGTTGCCTCACCTTGAACAGATCCTACATTTGCTGTAATGTTTGCATGTTTTCCCTGTACCTACATAGATAATGTCTGACTTGATAACATAGAGATCCAAAGACAAGCCTGTTAGGTTACCTGGTGGTTCTCAGTTGGATGTGAGGGCCCATGTTTTTTCTCTTCGTTAGCCTTGTGATGGATCAGTAACCAGTCCGGGGTGTCCCCCACCTCTTAACCACAACAGCTGGGGTAGACTTCTTGTTGGGAAGTTTTTTACCACTATAGCCGACAGCCCAAAGAGTGGAAAAAAAAATCCAAACGTTTCTTGGATTCTGCAAATTTAAGCTCAAAACCTTCAAATTAATGCTTTTCTCTGTAACGCTGGTGGCAGGTCACCAGGCGGCTGACAGAGGGGGACTACAGTCTCCAGGGAAACAGCATGCTGGAGGACCGACCCACCTCCAACCTGGAGAAACTTCACTTCATCATCGGCAACGGCATCTTGCGGCCCACCCTCAGGTGACCCATGAGTGTCATCGGCACTAAATAGAGGCTGCTCCTAGAAGCAG